TTAGTGAGAATATCCGCTATCATTTCAAGGGTCAAAACTTGCAAAATCTTCATTACTTTGTTTATCATCAGTTGGCGAATGTATTTCAAGCGGATTTCAATATGTTTGGTGTTAGGATTCAATTGAGTTTCTTTACTGATAATTACCGCCCCGGAGTTATCGTTGAAAATGATTGGAACATCGATTGGTATGTTGAGAGACGTGATGAGATTGGAAAGCCAACGAAGTTGTTTTGCACACTTGTTGATAGCGATAAATTCAGCTTCAGTTGTCGATTGTGCAACCACAGATTGTTTCTTAGTTGTCCAAGAGACCGGATTACCAAAGAAAGTAATAACATATCCAGACAAAGACTGTTTGGTGACCAAAGACGTCCCATAGTCGGCGTCAGCCCAACCGCACAAAGCATTAGCTGAGCTATTTTTGGTATAAATGATACCTACATCCATCATACCGCGGAGATAGCGCAAAAGATGTTTGACCATAGACCAGTGAGATTGAGTTGGAGATGAAGAAAATTGAGCTAGGACATTGACAGTAAAGGCAATGTCAGGACGAGTATGAAGGGCGAGATAATTTAACATTCCTATAGCCTTTTGCATGAGTTTCACGTCAATTGGTGGTGCGTCTGTAGCAATCACACGATGAAAATTTAAAGGGGAAGGAGCTTTGACTGAGTTCGAATCCATAATTCCAAATTCTGTCAAGATTTTTTCGGTGAAGTTAGATTGATGAATGAAAAGTGAATTATCCGAATTCCACACAAGATTATAACCTAAATGTTGAGCTGGGCGCTCTTTGATCTTGAGTTTGTAGGTCTTCTGAAGATTGTCAAGAAATCACAAAATTGCCGATTTAGACTTGCCAACAATAAGGCCATCGTCAACATGCATATGCAACAAGATCGAGTTGTCCAAATTGTGGAAAAGAGCATCATCGATGATCGAAGCAGTAAAACCAATTGAGTTGAGTGTAGAAACGAGATGAGCTTTCCACATTCGAGGAGCTTGTTTCGTGCCGTACGATGATTTTTGAAGTTTCCAAACCCAACCTTTCTTAGCCGGATCAGGGTCTTCAAAACCAAGAACTTGAGATACGTATATTGATGCGTCAATGTCTCCATAGAGAAATGCTGTCTCAACATCGAATTGAAAAACATGTAGATTCTCATTCACTGCGAGAGACAGCATCATCTTAAGAGACTCGTTCCAGGCAACAGACGAATAAGTTTCAAAATAATGCAACATGTGTTCTTGATGATTGCCAAAAACCACCCATCGAGCTTTGTGTCGAGTGATTTCGTTGAATTCATTAAGTTTTCGAGTCAGAAGCCACATGCCACCAATAATTTTATCATCTTCTGGAGGCGGCGCAAGAATTCCAGTGTTTTTATCTTGTAAAGAATTGAATTCTGAAGAAAGAGCATCGTCCCAGTTGACTAGATGATCTTTGTCGTTCATTGCTTCATTGATGGTTACCGACTGAGTAAGATTCAATTCAGGAAATTCGGAATCGATAACAACATTCAAGTCAGGGAGAGCTTCATTTTTTTGACGCGAGCCTTCAATAATGTTTGAGGGATCAATTTTTGAGCTGATATCTTTCAGAGCTTTTTGATCAGCTGGACCCCAAGTATAGACGAAACGCTTTGTAGGAAGAAGTCCAGATGGTGGAAATGAAGAAGTTGAAGTTGTGTCAGTTCAAGTGTTGCGAATAGAAGTTTCGAGGGAAGGTGATTCAGGAATTGAGGGAAGAATTGGAGGAGACAAAAGAGCAGAAGGTATTGGAGTGATCTGAGTTGAAGTAGGTTTTAAATCAGATGATTTATCCTCTGGAACATAGATTGAGACATATCCGTCTTTGTCGGATGCACATGAGGAGGGCAAAGTCGAAAATAACTTTCGCATGGCATCTTTAGAGTTATAGGCGAAAGAAAGAACAGAAGGGGTGTAATCTCGGCTGACGACAATACGACGAGAAATGGGATCTAGAAACCGCATGGCATCTGATCGGGGCTCATAGCCGAGAAAAAGAAGAGGCTTTGATGGAGGAAGAATTTTTGATGATGGTGATTGATTGTGGACGAAAACTTTCAAACCGAAAGGAATCAAAGAATGAACATGTCTTACTTGTTCGATGTTAGACTCGAGTTCGACCAGAATTGACATGGGAGATCTCCAATTTAACAAAACTGAAGGGAGCATGTTGATGAGAGTTGACGCGTACTTTGCTGTTTCATCCCAGTAATTGAGAGGAACATTACATTGAGCAAGCATACATCGAATTTTGATGAGAAGGGTTCGATTAAAACGTTCCGCAAGTCCGTTGGTTTGAGGAGAATTCGCTGGACCTTGTTCGAGAGAAATACCGTTATCGAGCAAGAATTTTTTGAAAAGAAGGAAACCAAATTCACCACCTCGATTGGTGTGAATAATTGCTGGAGTTATGTCGATTTGATTTTTGATTTCCTTGATGAATGACATCATTCTAGATTCGGATTGATCCTTCTTCTGCAAGAGATAAATTCGATTGAAGCGAGAAAAATCATCTATCAATACCAAAACGTATTTGAAAGATCCTCGAGAAACTGGAGTGATCTGCAACAAATCCATATGAATGGTATGAAAAGGCAAAGAACTAGTTGGTAGAGGATTTGAATGAGAAGAACGCTTTAGTTTAGCCATTCTACAAACCTCACAAGCGGTCGAAGAGCCCGTCTTATCGTTTGGAGGAATCTTCATAAGTTCAAGAAACTTCTTCACGTATACATCCGACGGATGTCCAAGAATTATATGCCAATCCTTGAGAGAATGTTTTTCCGTGATTGCTAGTAGAGAATCTGATGTGAAATATTTTGAACTTGAAGATATATATAAATCGCCAGTCCGAGGAAATTTTTCAACAATCGTAGAGTCCATACAAACATTGATGAGTTTGTTCTTGTGAAAAATTTGGAATCCGTGATCTTCAAGTTGAGAGACTGAGATGAGATTACATTTACCAGCAGGTGCAAGGTAAACTGGATAAAGTTTGTATTTTCCGAACTTCATCAATCCAATGTGAGTTATTTCAATTGAGCCAGAGTATGTCTTCATCTTCTTGTCAATTGGTTTCAGATCGGATAAGAGACGAACATCAGATACCGTAGACTTTGATGCACCGGTGTCAAGAACCAAACAAATATCTTTGGAATCTTCGGATGTGAGATGAAAATTTGTATCTTCACCAATAAAAAAACAATCGCCCTCTCGAATCTTGTCCAAAACTTGAGCTTCAGGTTCATAAGATTCATCTTGATCACTTGATTCTTCAATGGCATTTAAATCGGTTGATTGCAATTTTTTCTTCAGAGCTAGAATTTGATCTTCAATCAATTTTTTGACGTCCAATTTGTTCTTTTCTGAAGGTGATGAAGTTGAAGCAGGGGGTCAATTTTTGATTGGCACGACGTTTCTGAACTTAGACTGAGGAACTTTGAATTTATCTTTGTTCGGTCGAGAAGGATTTTTTGAAGATAAAACATTGATTGATCCAGAAATACGATCAGATCGTGTATCCTCAATTTTCATTCGAATCGCTAGCTTCTCAAATGTGAATGGAACAATATCGTACAAGTTCTGAATCAGGGCTGCAAGAGTATCGTCATGTCTGAAACTTTTGAGAAAAAATATTCCAGCCATTTGAGTATCAACTACCATGCTAGTTGTATTCGAAGCGACGAGAGAAGATTTCAACATGGTATAAAGATTTTGAAATTTTGAAGTATGTGCTCCAATCGATGTACCAGGAACATAATCGCAGCAGAATAACAAGAAGAGTTTGTCGCCGACTTTGATCAAAGATTGTTCGCCACAAGTTTCAGCAAGATCGCTCATAGCGTTGTGAGAACTCCTTTGGGAATGGTGGCAGTCCTGCAAGGGGGAAATAGCAGATGAGATATATCACGTATGTAATGATCTACTACAACTGTTACGGCTGGTTTGAAAGACCTGCCCCTCTATTGTACTACACAAGAGTCAACACAACAATTTATTTTATTGTTGTGGCAAAACTGATGATAGAGAAAACTATGTGTAGCAGTCTCTTATCAAACCTAGATCAATGTGGATTCAGCAGACTATTTGAGTGGAAATGTTGAGTACGAGGTGTTTTTCTGTTTATATGTTTATGTATTTTTGAAAAATGATTGACGTATGTACTGATGATAAATGTTTATTTATGAGATGATATTGTGGAAAAATGTGACTATTGAGAGTGTCTTTTCCCTTCCTTCTTGAATCTTAGTCAAGAGCACAATGGTTTAAGATCACTGTCTCTTGTTTAAGATCACAAGTTGTACTGGTTGCTACTTTCTTTTTCCTATGCTTCTCAATGGCTGAATGATCTCAATGGGGCACTTTGATTAAGATCACACTGGTTAATGTATAGATTGATTGCTCTGTTCTGTCTGGTTGATGATCAGATGAGATGATGATCTGTTGTGATGAGATGATCTCCGATGATAAAAATTGGAATGAGGGGGGAAAGCCCCTCCTTAAATAGTCTATTTTACAACTCGGCTGACTTGTGGTTCTAGCCCTAACCTATAATCTTATAAATGGCCAACTTGTGGTTCTAGCCCTAACCTATAACCTATAATTTATAAATGGCCAGCTTGTGGTTCTAACCCTAACCTATAACAAATATGCATAAAATCCGGCCAAATTGTGTTTTTGCTATCTATACAAGATTCCATGTGTACCTACATAACAATGTGGCCAAATTGTGGTTACCCTATGCAATGAATATTGAATATGTAAACAAACTAAGGCCAACTTGTGGTTTGCATTATGCAATAAGCATATTGTATGCAAATAAAACTTAAATCCCAAATAACTTTTGACTGAGTGGAGCTAGCCTAGTGGTTCCAGTGAGTGACTATGGGTTAAATGACCCGTAGAATGTGATTATGCCATAATACGCCTAAGAATATATGCCTTTCTACATATTGGACTGTGACTTTATGCAATTTGATACTTGAAACACAATTGGCATACTACAGCGTTATTGAACGTATCGGCGGCGGCAGCGACAGGCTTCAAATCAGAGGAAAGACACGATCGAAGAAGAGTGAAAGCAAGCACCGATTTCTTTCGATAGACTTTTTCCTTAGCATGAATTTTACACCATGCTTCGTCAAAGATTTCTTCATGGCCCCAACCAGTGAGAAGATCGACAAAGAACTTTTTCCATTCGGTCCAATTGTCCCGAGTGAGTTTAAGCATTGAGACCTTTTCATGACGTTCATCATTGCTTGATGATTCATCGATCGGTGATACCGCCGGATAGATCGACATCTTATTCGCTTGATTTAAATCTAAAGATTGTTCTTACTTTGAGTTAAACTATCAAGTATCGACTCTCGCTACCATGTAAGAAATGGTAGAATCAATTACTTTTTTGAAATAGTTTATTTAACTCAATAGAAGTAAAAATCTTACAAAAGAAAGAAGATAAGTAAATTGTGACTTATATGAACAAAAATAAGAAAGAAAGAAATACCTGAAAGACTAAATCAGTATATAACAAAACTCTCAACACGATAAAACGATGTCGACTTCAAAACACAAGGATTATCACAACACACTAGCCTGTCAGAGAAATTGATAAAAGAAACGGTCAATACAATGTAGAACAGTCAATCAGATAGAGTTTAAAGAACTACCTGCCCAGAAGCTAGAACTAGCTCCTCCTAAGTGTCAGAAGCGAACAATAGTTGAATCAAAGTATGGAGCTTGATTGATCAGCAAATAAGATTGACGACCTCGGTGGTTTTTGATTGATCGATGATTGATTGATTGATGAGTCAGAGCAACAAGGAAGGGGAAGAAAATGATTGGCAAGTTGGAAGTTGCTTGCTTGGAAGATCGAGTGACTGAGTGGATGCAAGATCAAAAGTATGACGACTGAGAATTTGACATTGAATATCCTTATGAATAAAATACTCAATGTGCCGAGTTTAAAACTCAACAAGGTGAGCAAGTATTCAACTCACTTGGGTTCATGGTTTTCTCAGTATCTGAGATAGATGAACAAAAAGACAGTGTAATAAGTGGGTTACACTTCAGGGCTAGCATTATTTGAGAGGGGTGGTTTCTTCCAGCAAGGGGTTTTAGTAGAAAGACTTTAATCTGTAAATTAACTCTATTTAGACATGATGGTAGCTGCTTTGTAAGTTTATTTGTGAAGCACTGATAATCACAGTACAAATTTTGGATTGATGCTACTAGAAGTTCCTGGGGGGAAAAGTCAGCAATCAGGGCTCCTTCAATATTCTACATGAGGATGGTTAAGCTTCAGGTAAATTTGTAGATCTTATTATTCCTTCATTTTGCAGATCTACAAGCTTTTTCTTGTACATATATCAATAAGTTATGGGTTATAAATTTTGTACATATTCTACAAGCATAAATATTATTCTAATTATTTATTTCAATTCAATGACATTTCTGTAAAGTCTTATTGATACTTTATGTAAAGGGTTCAGGAGGTATTTCACAGTTAATTATTGATTTTATATATATGAAATATAAATTGAGATTATAATTAAGTAAATATTTGTTTAGGGGTGTGGTTCATTGACTCCCAATCCCTGTATTCCCCAAACTTTGGCATTCAAACCCCCCAAATCCTTGACTGGTTTGGGGGTTGAATCCCTAAAAAATATATGTCAACAAAAAAAATGAAAAACCTGGTTGGTTTGGGAGTCAATCCTCTAAAACTGACTAGGGTTTGGGGGTCAATGGACCAAAAGAACCCTACAGCAGCAGCCGGGGGGGGGATTCCCCCTGGCCTCTGAGAGTACACTCTTGATGGCTAGGAGTATACCCATTGGATGTTGAAAGTGTATACCCTCAACAGCCAAGAGGATTCCTCATGACCAAGAGGAACCCTCTAGGCTCTTGGTCATCAAGAGTGTACACTCTCAACAGCCAAGAGAAAAAACATTGGGCATCTCTTGGCTGTCAATAGTGTATAATCTCAATGGCTGAATGATTTTCTCTCTCAGTCACTGAGTGCACACCTCAAAAAAAAAGAGCAATCCTCTCAGCCATTGAGAGTGTAAACCTCAACAGCAAAGGTGGTTTTCCTTGGCCATTGAGATTGTATACCCTTAATGGCCAAGAGGGTTCCTCTTGGCCGTTGAGGTTTACACTCTCAAAGGCCAAGAGGGTTCCTCTTGGCCGTTGAGGTTTACACTCTCAAAGGCCAAGAGGGTTCCTCTTGGCCGTTGAGGTTACACTCTCAAAGGCCAAGAGGGTTCCTCTTGGCCGTTGAGGTTACACTCTCAAAGGCCAAGAGGTACACTCCCAGCCTTTTCTCAGCGGCTAGGAGGAATCAGCCCGGCTGCTTCCATGAGGGTCTTTTGGTTCATCAACTCCCAAGCCCTGGTTTGTTTTGGAGGATTGACTCCCAAACCAACCAGATTTTTTTAAATATGTTTTTTAGGGAGTCAACTCCTAAGCCAGTCAAAATTTTGGGGGTTCAACTCCCAAAATTTAGGAAATGTGGGGCTTGGAAGTTGACTCTCCAACATTTGGGATTTGATTAACCAAGCCCATTGATTCTTTATTTTAAAAACAATATATAACATTTTCCTGTATTCAATTAAAGGTAATTATTGAAGTTACTTGGTACAGTTCATGTACACGTGAAATGTGCTCTGCGGTTGACAATGTTAAATATCACAAGGATTATCCAGCCCCAGTAACAAAACTTGAAATGCTACCTGTCATAGTTTTGATAAACTAACTGGAAAAAATAATCAAAAAAGATTTGGGATTTGTTGAAAATGAAGACACAGCGCTATTAGCGGCAAGGAAGGCCAAAAAACCTTTAAAATGTGCTGTAGTGCAGTGTAGCAGGGTCTTGTTTGTGTCCTGAGTGAATTTGAGGCAGAATTCTGATGCACTACGCTAAATCTTAGCAGAATTCTGCTATGTTATGCTGGGCTAATGCTCTCATTAGTGTAACTGGTCCATTGTTGAAATACTGTATCTGTGTTCATTTCTTAGATGGGGGGGGGTTAAATTCAGTACAAATTGGACAAATATTTCATACAATGAAACTGTATGTCATCTGAATTGAGATAAAAATGCAATACCAATTTTTTGAGCATTGGAAAAAAGATTCAATACCCTCTGTTTAACTATTCATGTATAGTATAGTATTTTTCAATTGTTCCTTGAAGCACCATGGTCCATCATTATCCTTTAAAAGAAGAGTTATCTGGTTTGCACATTTTGCAAGTTATGTTTCATGTTTCTGGAAGCTTGGGATGATGAAAAAAGATTTATTGCCCCTATAATTTAATTGATACAAAAACCTGATTAAACATGAGGGAAAGACTGCAACAATGAAGGCCAGGACCAGAAGTGAGGATTCAGATGGGTGAGTGTTTTTCCTGATGAGGTAATGGATAAAACAATTGACAGATGTTGAGATCTTCATGAAACACAAAAACATGTGACAAAAGCATTTTATGAGAGGTAGATAAGATTAATAATGGAACCAAATAGTTGTAACATGGAAGTAGAATTCAGGGAAAAACAAAATTATTAGAATTTTTCCTGAGGGACTCTCAGAATTTGACTATATTCCACAAGAAATGTAGAACACCATGGAGGAAAACATGCTCCAATTCCAAAGTACTATTAAGCACAAAAAAATGGGGATTTTCTCAAATGAGAGAGCATTTTTTTGGGAAGAGATATCTGGAAAGTTGAAAGATACAAAAAAACTGATGTAAAAAACCAGGATTGACTAGGAGCTGAGAATTTTTTAATTTTTGGAGGACAATTGTCTCATGAAGTTTGCACCCTTGACCAAAGTTGTCTTTGTCGAGGAGGATCATTGAGTAAGTTGGTAAACTTTTTGGGGAGAGCTGAGATGATGAATTGGGAGTAAAATTGGTCTGATTTGATGTGCTCATCCCAAAAGTATTGGTTTTCATTCTTTAACCAATAGCCCAGGAGAGTCAGCGCGGCTTCCAAGTACTTGAAAGGACTCTCGTCGTGGAAAACCTTGAGGAGGTAAAGCTGGACTTCATCAAAGGCGGGGGATGTAGCTAGGTCAGCTATGGTCTTGTCCAGCGTTCCGAAGAGAGGGAAAAATGGTTCAGTAGCTGCCCCAAACAGCTTGCGAGAGAGAAATTCAAAGAAAGACGCTTGGAGTGGCACCCCTAGGGGCGCTGGACGAACAGAGGAAAACGTGGTGAGGATTGCAAGCGAGCTAATGTCCAAGTAGCTCAGCAATTTCTTCAACTTCCTTCTGAACCACTGGTGCTCCAAAACGTCCCGATCTAGTTCTTGCAGCAAGTGTCGGACACACAACGCGCGCCATTACGAAATCGGGCAATCACGACCCTCTCCGAT